AACAGACAGTGCCACCTTTGGTTTATGCATTGCTCAGCTGCTGGGCGTTTTGGTTGTTTCTACCTTTTGGCTCTTACGAATGATGCTACTCTGAACAAGCATGTGTGTATGAGTTCTTGTGTGGACATGTGTTTTCAGTTCTCTTGGATATAGATGTGAGAGCGGAATTGCTGGAGCATATGGTGGGTCTCTGTTTAAACTTTTGAGGAACTACCAGACCGCTTTCCGCAGTGGCTGCACCATTTCGTGATCGCTCCAGTGGCGTTAGTTTACATTTTTGCCAGCGCTTTCTAATGTTTGTCTTTTCCGATTATAGTCATCCTAGTGGATGTGAACTGCTATCTCATTGTGGTTTTGATTGCATCTCTCTGGTCACAATGAGATGGAGCATCTTTTCATGTGCTTGCTGGCCTTTTATATATCTTCTGTGAAGTAATATCTATTCAGATTCTTTGCCCATTTTTTAATTGTGCTATTCGTCTTTATTGCTGAATTATAGCAGTTCTTTATTCTGGATACAAGTCTCTAAATATGTTCATGATTTGCAACTATTCTCTCCTAGCTGGTGAGTCATCTTTTTACTTTCTTGATGGTGTCTGTTGAAGCATGACAGTTTTTACTTTTGATGAAGTCCATTTTTCTATATTTTCTTTTTTGTCACTTTATTTTTTTAAAGGTTTTTATTTATTTGAGAGAGTGAGAGTGTGAGAGAGAGAACACGAGCACGGGATGGGGCTGTGGGCAGAAGGAGAAGCAGACTCCCCACTGCGCAGGGAGCACGACTCCGGACTCAATCCCAAGGCCCGGGGGTCATGACTTGAGCCAAAGGCAGATGCTTCACTGATTGGCATCCCATGTCACTTTTACTTTTTGTGTTGATGCCTAAGAAACCTTTGCCTGACTTAAGACCACAAGATCTCTTCCACTGTTTTCTTCTAGGAGTTTTATAGTTTTAGGTCTTACATTTAGGCCTATAATCCATTCTGAATTAATTTTTGTATATGATATGAAGTTAGGGATCTGACTTTATTCTTTTGCCTGTGGCTTTCTAATTGTTCAGCACCATTTGTTTTCAAGACTCTTCTTTCCCCATGGAGTTATCTTGACACCCTGCTCAGAAATCAAATGTGCATAAATGTAGAGGTTTATTTATGAACTCTGTTCCATTGCTCTATGTCTGTTCTTACATCAGTGCTGTGCTTTTTTTTTTTTTTTAAGTAATATCTACACCCAGTGTGGTGCTCAAACTCATGACCCCAAGATCAAGAATCAGATACTATACCAACTGAGCCAGCCAGATGCCCTAAGTACTGTACTGTATATGCCAACTCCATACTCCATAGTTGAGTTTTGAAATTAGGGAATGTGAGTTCTCCAGTTTTGTTCTTTTTAAAATTGTTTTGTCTATTCTGAGTCTACCGTACTTCTCTATATGAATTTTAGGATTAATGTGTCAGTTTCTACCATGAAGGCAGCTGGAATTTTGATAGGGATTACACTGCTGTAGATCAGTTTCAGGAGTTTTTTCATCTTAACAATATTATATCTTCTAACCCATGAACCCTGAATGTTGTCCATTTACTTAGGTCTACAACTTTTTTTTTTTTTAAAGATTTTATTTATTTATTTGACAGAGGGATCACAAGTAGGCAGAGAGGCAGGAAGAGAGAGAGGGGAAAGCAGGCTCCCTACTGAGCAGAGAGCCCGATGTGGGGCTCGATCCCAGGACCCTGAGATCATGACCCGAGCCAAAGGCAGAGGCTCAACCCACTGAGCCCCCCAGGTGCCCCAGGTCTGCAACTTCTTTCAACTATGTTTTGTAGTTTTCACTGTACTATTTTCATTTTATTCTTTTTGATGTTATCTTAGATGTAAGTTTCCTAATTTTATTTTGAATTATTTATTCCTTATGCATGGAAATACAGTTGATTTTTTAAAAAATTTTTGTATCTGGGGTGCCTTTGTGGTTCATTTGGTTAAGCGTCTGACTCTTGATTTCTGCTCAGGTCATGATCTCAGTGTCCCGGGATGAATCTCTGTACTGGGCTTTCTGCTCAGCAGGGAGTCTGCTTGAGGACTTTACTCCCTTTGTCCTTTACCTCCCCCTCTTGTGTGTTTTCTTTCTCTCTTGCTCTCAAATAAAAGTAAATCTTTTTTTTTTTTTTTTTTAAGGAATTTTTTTGTGGGGCGCCTGGGTGGCTCAGTGGGTTAAGCCTCTGCCTTCAGCTCAGGTCGTGGTCTCAGGGTCCTGGGATCGAGCCCCAAGTCGGGCTCTCTGACCAGTGGGGAAGGTTCCTTTCCCCCTCTCTCTCTGCCTGCCTTTCTGCCTACTTGTGATCTCTGTCAAATAAATAAATAAAATCTTAAAAAAAATTTTATTTATTTGAAAGAGAGACAGAAATGGAGCTTGAGGGGGAAGGCAGAGGGAGAAGGAGAAGAGGACCCCCTGCTGAGCAGGAAGCCTGATGCAGGCCTTGATCCCAGAAGCTTGGGATCATGACCTGAGCTGAAGGCAGACGCTTAACCGACTGAGTCACCCAAGCGCCCCCAAAATAAATAAATCCTAAATATATATAAAATAATTTGGGAGCGCCCGGGTGGCTCAGTGCGTTAAAGCCTCGCCTTCAGCTCAGGTCATGATCCCAGGGTCCTGGGATCGAGCCCCACATTGGGCTCTCTGCTCAGCGGGGAGCCTGTTTCCCCAGCTCTCTCTCTGCCTGCCTCTCTGCCTACTTGTGATCTGTCAAATAAATAAATAAAATCTTAAAAAAAAAATTGTATTCTGTAGCTTTGCTGAATTCACTTATTGGTTGTAATTATCTTTTTTGTGGCTCACTTAGGATTTTCTATATACAAGATCTTGTAGTTTGCAAATAAAGATAGTTTTCTTTCTAGTCTGATACTGGAAATTGAGGTGGTTGGGGACATCTTTTGGACACGTCTAGCAGACAATTAGATATGCGATTAGACCCAAGGGAAGATTGGGGCAGGAGATAGAATTCTGAGGGCCATGATCATCATTTGAATAGGGCAGTTTGGAGGCTGGAAGCCAGACTGAAGAAAATTGAGTAAATAGGAGGTGAGATAGCAGAGATAGCTCATATAGAGGCACAAATGAGAACAAAAGAGTCTTGAAGGGTAAACTTACAATTTTTCAAAATACAGTTTGTGGACCAACTGCACTTAAACTACCTGGAATAGTTGTTAAAAATACATTTCCCGGGGTGTCTGGGTGGCTCAGTGGGTTAAAGCATCTGCCTTCGGCTCAGGTCGTGACCCCAGGGTCCTGGGATCGAGCCCCGTGTTGGGTTCCCTGCTCAGTGGGAAGCCTGCTTCTTCCTCTCCCTCTGCCTGCCTCTCTGCCTACTTGTGCTCTATCTCTCTGTCAAATAAATAAATAAATAAAATCTTAAAAAAAAAAAATATTTCCCTGGGGGCTCCTGGGTGGCTCAGTGGGTTAAGCCTCTTCCTGCTCAGGTCATGATCTCAGGGTCCTGGGATCAAGCCCCAAGTCGGGCTCTCTGCTCAGTGGTGAGCCTGCTTCCCCTTCTCTCTCTCCCTGCCTCTCTGTCTACTTGTGATCTCTGTCTGTCAAATAAATAAATAAAATCTTTTAAAATAAATGCATTTCCCTGTGTTCCATCCCAAGCCCTGTGGATTAGACTCTCCATGGGTGGGTGTCAGCGTCCCACATTTTAAACTGGACTTACATAGTAAGTCTTGGACACTCCCAAATCGGAGAATCACTGAACTAAAGAAATTCCACAGTTGAGACCGAGAGGGCACGGGAGAAAATGGGAATGCTCTTGTAGCTTTGACATGAACAGTAAGGAGGGTGGAGCTGAAGAGTTAGAAGAGAGAAGAACCAAACTCCCCGAGAAAGGTGGAGTTTGGAATATAGATCCAAGGATTGGCCTCAAATAGAAGGAGAGATGGGTCTCCCCCAGAGCTAGTGTCAAATAGAAAGTTTTAAAGCTTTGAAGTGGTCTAACCCGTTTCCTCAGATCATCTATGGGAAACACATAGTTAAAAGGACGACAGGATGGCCAGGTTCCATAATCAATCCTGTGATAATATCAAGTGTAATGCAGTCTTCTCTCTTCCCAGCTGATTGCTCTTTGCAGCATCTCATACTAGTGGTGCTCCTGTTCATTTTTGTGTAGTCTGGTTTTAGCCATGTTTTAATCAAGAATCTATCTCCTGTCATAATGTGCTGTTTTATTCACTGTGTCTCAGCCTTAGAAAGATTTCTAATGGGGAGGGAAGGTACAAAAAGAAAGAAACTCTTGTATGCACGTATGAGCTTCTGCCACCAAGATTGGGATAGTTGATTGAAGTATTGGCCATAAGCTCTTCCTCACAAGGAACTGGAAAATGGAGTAATGTGTCAGAACTAGTGTGTTCCCATACTTATTAATTTCTTCCGTCTAGAATGGACTCATCATAAGAGTTGCTGTCATTTATTCAGTACTCCTTTTGTTACCCAAAAGTATGCTCAGGACTTTAAATTAATTATGCTAATTTTTGAAAAAGAAAACCTTAAAGATAAGTAGTATTAAGATCCAGACTGTATAAATGAAGAAAGTCAACCTCAGTGATTATATTAAGTAGTTCAAAGAAACAAAGTAAGTGGCAGAACCAGGATTCAAACTCAGGTTTGCATGTCTGGCCCCGAAGTCTGTGATCTTAATGACTTGCCAGATTGCCTTTCTCTGTGTACATGGAGATAGGACTGTGTTGGAAGAAGAATTGACAATTGCACCCAAAATAAAATCTTCCTCCCCGGCCCAACATCCACAGTACCCCCATTGTAAAACTGAAGTGATAGATAACATTTTAGAACTGAGATCATATCTTATGATACGTGTATTGCTTGGTAACTTAAATCTGTAAACGAGGTTGTTGAATATTGGCACACAATACTTTCTTCTTCCTTGTAGGAGTCTTATATACTTGAATGGTGACTTCTGAATGCTGACTCCTGTTCTGTTTTCTTTTAGAAAAACCATGCCAGATGGATCATCTGGATCGAATCCTTCTGTCTGGCATATATAATGTACGCAAGGGAAAGACCCAGCTGCATAAGTGGGCTGAACGCCTAGTTGTTCTCTGTGGGACATGCCTCATCGTTTCCTCGGTGAAGGATTGTCAGACTGGGAAGATGCACATTTTGCCTCTGGTTGGGGGAAAGGTAAGACTCATAAAAATGATTTTTCTTCATTTGTTTGATCTTAATTAAAATCACATTTAATTTTTGGCGTTTTCCCCACATCTTTTTAAAGAAGCCAATATGAGCATTATTAAAGATTGCATTACAAAGTTTGCTTTTTAGAGTTCTTAGTTTTAACCAGAAGAAACCGACTTAGGCTAATTTTTTTTTTTTTTTTTTTTTAAGATTCATTTATTTGAGAGAGAGAGTGTGCAAGCAGGGGGAGGGGCAGAGGGATAGGGAGAAGAACAGCAGACTCCCTGCTGAGCTTAGAACCCAACACTGGGCTCAATTTCATAATCTCATGATTTTACAATCTCATGACCCATGAGATAACGACCTGAGCTGAAACCAAGTCAGATGCTTAACCAACTGATCCACCTAGGCACCCCAACTTTACTTAGGCTAATTTAAGCATAAAACAGGTTTATTTATATCACAGGTTCTCTGGGAGGTCCAAAGCCTGTTCATACCCCAAATTCTGCTGCAGAACCCATTTGTTGATGATACCTCTGCCTCCACTGCTGGGCCCCCATAACACCCGAGTAGACCGAGAATGCTGCCACTTGCAGCCTCCTGCCACATCCGTCCCCAAAACAGATTCTTTCCAGCTTCTCCTTTTTCCCCATTTGACTTAAATTCAGAGTCGTGGGTGGTCACAAGCGCCTCTCCAGCAGCAAGGGGAGTGGAGGCATACCGTTCCTGGTCTGTGCTGGAGAATTCCCCGTCCTAGGCAGGAGTTCATTTGCAAGTCGTTCAAACAGACTGACAGATGACTAGAAACAGGTGCGTTAATATTTATATGAAGCTGTACATCATTTTGTTTCTTTATTTTCCATCTTGAGTATCCTAAAACAGTCTGAATTTTAGAGGACTTCCGTATGAAATGACCTAGTGCATTCATGCTTTGAGATGTCCAGTCTGGCCCAGATGCATAGCGATATCAGTAAATTAGATATATTCAAAAGGTAAATATGTAAAAAGACATAGCTGTGCTATGGAATGTAGAATAGCTGCTGTGAGAGGGTCTGAATCTGAGGGCCTGCTGGGTTCTGGGCCTGAAAGGTCGTGGCAGCCCAGGACTTCAGCTCCTATAAGTATTTGGGTTTAAAAGTCCTCTGCTCATAAGAAGAACCTGGCGCAGGCTTAGTCCTTGAAGCAGGAGATGAGTCGTACTCTGCTCCTGAAGGAAAGCTGGAAAGGAAAAACAAATAAAAAAACAAAAAAACAGCCCCAAACAGCTGTTAACCACTGACTGGAACCAAGTCTTTTTCTCGCTGTGGTTCTAGAAAAGTGGAAGGAACCAGTTATGTGCCCTGTGACCAGGAAGTGAATACGTCCCCACTGAATGAATGTGCACGCTCCACTCTCAACTGGGGCCAGCAACCCAGCACTTACTGATGTGAGACCTGGTTCTGGTCTTGGGAGCTGAAGGACAGAATGAAGAAAATAGGTTAAAAGAAAATGACAGCCCTTCCCATCCCCCCAACCCCACCAAAAATAAAAGAGAAAAGAATACAGCAAAGGAAAGGACATTCAAAGGGAAGTTGTAAGAAATAAGAAATAATGATAAGTGCAGACATTGACAAAATATGATGGTCAAGTTAATATTGATTGTAAAAAGTTGAAATTTTTAAAATATTTTAAGTATGAATATAAACTCTTAAAGCTCAAACTGCCCTGAATGATATTTAAGATATAGTGGTATGTTTGATAAGTAACGTGTGATACAGCCATGGAATAAGAGAATAGAAATACCAAATAACTTTTAAGTTTATTAGGAAAAACCTTAAGTATGAGTGTAAAAATTTTAAGGAAAGCCACTAAAAGTAGAGAGGGAAAAGAAAACAAAACATTCTGTAGTGCTAAAAGAAGGCAGGAAAGGAGCGGAGAGAAATGAATGAAATGATTGGCATGGTAAATTATCACAAATTACAGTGACAGAAACATATAGAAATATATCAGTAATCATAATTGTGATACAAGTTGTCATTTAAAATCCCAGTACTTGCTGTTTATTTTATAAGATTTTATTTATTTATTTATTAGAGAGAGCACGAGCAGGGGGAGGGGCAGAGAGAGAAGGACAAGCAGGCTTCCGGCTGAGCAGGGAGCTCAATGTGGGGCCCGATCCCAGGACCCCGGGACCATGACCTGAGCTGAGAGCAGACACTTAACCTACTAAACCATCCAGATACCCCCAGTACTTGCTGTTTGTAAGAGACCCTACACTTAGAAGGTTGAATGTGGATGGTGGGAAAAGCATGCTAGTCAAATAGCAACCAAAAGAAAATTGGTGTGGTCATATTAACATCATACAAAACATTTTTATGAAAGCTTATCTGCAACAAAGGACTTCTCTCCAGAATTAATAAAGAAATTTTACAACACAGCAACAGAAAGGCAGATAACCTAGTAAAAACTGGGCAGAAGGGTTGAGCAGCTCCTTTACCAGTGAAGATCTACAGATGGCAAATCAGTACATAGGATGATTCTCACCATCATGAGTCATTAGGGAAATGCAAATAACCATCACAGATTCTGCAAACCACTAGGATGACTAAAATCAAAAGACTGATGAGTACCAAATTTAGCAAAGATGAGGAGCAACTGGAATGCTCTCACATCATTGGTGGGAGTACCGTCACTTTGGAAAACAGTTTTCTTATTTCTTATAAACTGAAACATATGCATATCAGATGACCCAGCATTTCTCCTAGGTATTGGGAAATGAACATCTGTCTTCACAAAGACTTTATATGAATGTTCATAGCAGCTGTATTTATAATTGTCAAAAACTAGAAACAACCCAAAATTCATTGACTGCTGGTGAATTAATAAACAAATGTGGTACATTCCACACAGTGGACTACTACTGAACAGTAAAAAAGAATGAACTGCTGATATACACCAAAATGAGGATGAATCTCAAAAACATTATTTTCTTTCTTTCTTTCTTTTTTAAAGATTTATTTATTTATTTTAGAAAGAGACAGCAAGCAAGTGCTCGAGCCAGCAAGCGTGGAGGTGGGGGGAGGGCAGAGGGAGAGGCAGAAAGAGAATCTCAGATTTACAAACCTTTCTCAGTATTTGACATTATGTGAGTATATTTTTCTGTGTCAGATACCCCATAGTAAAATATTTAAAAGTTTATTCTAAAACATGGGCGCCTGGGTGGCTCAGTCAGTTAAGCATCTGCCTTCAGCTCAGGTCATGGTCTCAGGGTCCTGGGATTGAGTCCCACATCCGGCTCTCTGCTCAGTGGGGAGTCTGCTTCTCCCTCGCCCTCTGCTGCTCCCCCTGCTTGTGTGTGGTCTCTCGCTTTCTCTTTGTTAAATAAATAAAATCTGTTAAAAAAGATTATTCTAAAACAATCATTAGTATCTGTTCTTCATTTCAGTAAGATCCTTTATTTTGACGTATTCATTAGCATGCTTTATTACTAGTAAAAAAGATCCTGTTGTGAGATCACAGTTGAGTGTTATAAATATTTAATTTTACTGGTATTTTTTTTAAAAGATTTTATTTTTTTGAGGGGTGCCTAGGTAGCTCAGTTGTTAAGCATCTGCCTTCGGCTCAGGTCATGATCCAGGGGTCCTCGGATTGAACCCCACATTGGGCTCCCCGCTCTGCGGGAAGCCTGCTTCTTCTCCCTCTCCCACTCCCCCTGTTTGTGTTCCCTTTCTCACTGTATTTCTCTTTATCAAAGAAATAATTAAATCTTTTTAAAAAAAGATTTTATTTATTTGAGAGGAGGAGCATGCACATGCATGAGCAGAGGAAGAGGGAGAAGGAGAGGGACAAGCAGACTCCCCACTGAACGCAAAGCCCAGTGTAGGGCTCCATCACAGGACCCTGAGATCATGACCTAAGCTGAAGGCAGATGCTTGACTGATAGAGCCACCCAGGTGCCCCTTATTGGGATCTTTTTAATATGATTCTTTTTTGCTTAAAGTATTTTGTGTTTTTGCCATTCGATTCAGTCTTTACTTGGCACTAGAAACCTAATGATTTACGAGTATAATTTAGAAGTTTCCAGCTGACTCACCAAGATTCAATAGTTATGACATATCAAAGTGAGATGTCAGACAAAGGTGTAAGTGGTTCCATAACTATAGAGACTTCATCTTCATCAAAGCTATGTGAATTGGGTTGTTGGATTTTGGGGGAGAATTGCTTTGAAGAGAAATGCTATTGTGCTGTGAATCCCTACAGCCTTCCTAGCTGGGAATGGCTTCTGCCTTTTTCCTCAAGCCTATTGAAAAAGGTTTCAGCAGGATTCAAGAGAGCTTAATATGGGTCCCTTGCAGTAAGGGGGGGCATAGTGGATTGGTGTCCTGCCTCCTCTGTCCTCCTCATCTCTTGAGGACAGAGATGAGTCTGTCACCAGAGCAGCCAGGTAGCCTAAGAGCCTAGGTCATGCATTGAGATCATTGTGTCTCCTTGGGTTTGTTAGTTTGTGACCCAGATGGGTTGAGAGAGGAAAAGCCAGTGGGTAGATTGATGGATGAGTGGGTGGATTCTCTTAGAACTTGCCTGGCAGGGCCATCTTGAGGGTCAGATAAGCTTCCCTTGAGGATAGGCTGACAGTGGACCACAGGATTCTTTCATGTCTGAGGAGGGAGTAGTCAGCTGCTGGAAGAGTATGCATTAGTGAGGTCAAGTGATCTGTAAGTGAGACACTGTCATTGTTTGGGGTGGGGTGGGGGGGTAACCAAAAGAACCCTTAAATGGACCCATTGTGGAAAAGCATTCCTTTAGAATCTCCTAGGCCCAGAGACCGTGAAATCAGATTATGATTCTCCTTATCTAGTAATAACCTTTGGTCTTTCCTTTCTACTTCAGCCCTGGAGGGGGTCAAAAATGGGAGCTAGCCCAGGGCTTAGTGAGAAAGGAGAGGAGTCCAAAAAGCAGGCCATGGCACCCTTTGCAGGCAGACAGCTACCTCCATTGTGCCCCAGTGTGGGTGGAAAGGGTTGGAACTGCGTTACCTTTGCAGTGGAGACTTTGGCTCTTATCACACGGTCCAGAGACTCCTGTTCTGAAACACGGCATGCAGCCGTGCGTCGCAGCGAGGTGTACTTGGTGTTCCTGTATGTGGAATGCTCCTCGCCTAGGAGGTTCCCACGCCTGGACCCCCTTAGGGTCTTTGCTCACGTGTTACCTCAGTGAGGCCTTCCCTGACTGCCCTTTCTTAATTCAGATCACCCACCCTGTTCGCCAGGCTTTTCTCCTGCTTTCTTTTTCTTGATATTATTCATTATATATTATATTGTGTTATGCTACGTTTTGTCACCATTTCGGTGTTAGAGTGTTTGTCCCTTCTCAAATACAGATTACACTAAGGGCGGGGGCTTTGTGTTTTCCCCCTGCTTGCCCCCAGCGAGCAGAACCGTAGAATGTATTCATGCAACAAATCTTTAATTATCAAATGGGGACTGTGTTGTGACTTACAGAGGAATTAATAAATAGATTTATGCAGAAGTATGCTCCGAGTCCTATTCCTTCAACATACTTCAGTGAAGTACTCCTTTGCTTTTTCTAAATGGCTTTATTGAGATACATTTCTTTGGAGAAATGTCTATGCAAATCTTTTGCCTGTTTTAGAAAACTGAGTTCTTTGTCTTGTCCTTTGCTCTCTGACTGGGATTTTTTCTCTTGGTTCTGGTTTTCGCCCCTCCTCCCCTTCAGGTGGAAGAAGTGAAGCGTCGGCAGCATTCCCTGGCGTTCAGCTCAGCCGGAGCCCAAGCTCAGACCTATCATGTCAGCTTTGAGACGCTGGCCGAGTGCCAGAGATGGCAGCGACAGGCATCCAAGGTGATAAGCTGTCGGACGTCCTGAAGTGGGGATAAGACTGCAAAATCCCACGAGAGATGTAATTTGAAACTGAACTCTCTCCAGGAGAGTGAATTATAATTTTTATGTATCTTACTTTAGGCCCCTCTAAGTATATAATGAATGGAAGAATGAAAGTCCAGCAGGTCCTTAACTTATTTGTTATTTGTATAGTAGAGAAAGCTTTCAGAAGTGTTTGCAGGTACCTCTCGACCATCTCTCTCTTTTTGTTTTCCCCCTTAAAGAATTTATTTATTTGGCAGAGAGACACAGAGAGGGGGAACACAAACAGGGGGAGGGGCAGAGGGAGAAGCAGGCTTCCCGCTGAGCAGGGAGCCGGGGCCTCGATCCCAGGACCCTGAGATCAGGACCTGAGCCGGAGGCAGCTACTTAATGACTGGTAGATGCTCTCTACCATCTCATGAGAGGAATATGGCCTTGAAGGAATTGAGACACAATGAGATTCAGATGACTTTCCCTCAGCCACTGTAGTCAGTGAGAGATGGTGCCGTTCCCTAATTCCTAGCCTAGTGCTTCTTGGTCTTGTATGTATTTAGCACAGCTGTGATGAACCACTTTAAATTTGAACTTACCATGGGATGTGACCTGTGCTCCTGTCACAAAGTATTGTTACTGTATGCTGAGGATAATTACCTTTTCAGCATAATTTCTGCTTTTTTAGTCTTTAAAGATGAAGTGCTCTAAAACTGTGTTGCAGTTTCCAAATTCTCTTGTTCTAGCTATTTGCAGAATTTTAGCACATTTTTCTTGTGGAGCTAAATAGTTGCATAAAGGATGGTTTTCGTATAATGAGATGCCATAAAACATGAGTGACTTTTCCAGTGGCATTTTGTTTGGTTTTTAGACCAATTTTCACAACCCATCTTTTATTAGCATTCTAATATAGAAATATAAACTTGTTTTGGTTTTATTGAATTTTCTATACATACATTGTAGTTGTGATAAAATCTCTTCTGAATAAAACGAGTTTCAATTTTAAGTAGCTATTCCATTCTTTTGACCTTGTAAAGAGAAGTTAATATTTTTTGAGCACCTTTTGCATACTAGGTAGTGTGCTGTGTACTAGGTTATTTAATTTTATCCTCACAACAGATAAAGAAACTGCACTGGTAAGTAGCGAAGCCCACGTGGATACAAAAGGCCATGGCTTTCAATTTCACCCTGTCAGAGTTTTGTATAGTTATTTTGGATCATCTCAACTTCTTGTATGAAATATTAACTTTCTGTCTTTATGATTTGTGTTTTTTTACTTATAGACACTTTAAAACTTACACTGTTGTGTGTTTTGAAGCAGTTTATGGTTTTAGGAAAAAGCAAAAATGAACTGGTTTTTATAAACAACTAATTGGATCTCATTACCTTTTTCTCCTTCGCATTTTTAAAATTAGTGCCTTTTTATGTAAATATGATTCGTTCCTATGCTGGGTGAGAGACATTTGGTGCTAGCTCAGATGGCTCTTCTCCTTGACCCTGTTCAGGTGGTGTCCCAGCGAATCAGCACTGTTGACCTGTCATGTTACAGCCTTGAGGAGGTTCCTGAGCATCTCTTCTACAGTCAAGATATCACCTACCTCAATTTGCGGCATAATTTTATGCAGTTGGAAAGACCTGGGGGCCTTGACACTCTCTACAGGTATGTGAGGAATGGGTTTCCTGACTAACTTATTCAAACCAAATCATGATCACCGTCTTAGTCATCTGTGCCTGGAAGTGAGCATGCTTACCATCGTATATATTTTTGAAAATTTCCCCTCCATTTAGAAGAGGAAGTAAAATTTTTTATCCATACAGTTTTCTTACACCACTACCACCCCTTCCCCCCACCCTTCCCCTCCATGCAACAGAGGATAGATGCAGTTGTTCTGTTACGGAGGCAATGTTGAGCTGCCATTGATCTGGATAATCTTGTTACATAAGTCACTGACAGTGATGCATGATCTGAAGCCAGGGTAAATTGGGAGATTGAGTATATGGCAAGTTTTTGAATCATAAGTATCAAACTTAAATAGCTTTAAGGAAATAGGCCTAATTTCAAGAATTCCATTTTCAGGTTGGGGCTTTTATCTTTCCTGTGTACCCGCTAATGCTAGCTTCTAAGCTTTTTGATAGCTGTGAAGCCTCTCTCTTCTGATCATTTTACTCCTGAAGGACTATGGCCCATATATTTTCCAATTTCTTTGTCAGAATATATTCCCCCTTCCAACCTTCCACCCTTTAAAAGTGGGTGGAAGTGAGTAAATACCTAGTATAAGTAATTGTGTGGGCTTCTAGTGAACACGGGAGAAATTGGAAATTAAAGCATTTAAACTAAGTGGTGATTAAAAAAATAATACATATTGTGGAGCATCTGTGTGGCTCAGTTGTTAAGTATCTGACTTCAGCTCAGGTCATGATCCCAGGGACCTGGGATTGAGCCCAGTGTCAGGCTCCCCACTCAGTGGGGAGTCTGCTTGTTCCTTTCCCTCTTCGTCTGCCCCTCCCCCATTCATGCTTTCTCTTGCTTGTGTGCTCTCTCTCAAATAAGTGAATAAAATCTTTAAAAAAAGATAATATTCCTTGAAATGGCATATTTTACTTTAATATTTCTAGAATAATTTTGAGAAAGCACTGTGATTTTTATCCCATATGATGTGTTACGAAGCTTTTTGGGTATAAGCAAGCCTCTATCTAGTAATGAGATAATAGTTTTAATTATATTAGTATGTAAAAACTACAGAAGCGATAATTTTAAGGAAGTGGGTTTCTAGCATTTTCTTCTCAGTCACTATGAAAATAGGGTTAATGCAGTTTGAGAGCAGCATTAGGAATTCTGAAGTCAAGGCACCAAGCCAAAGGAACAATCAGTACTCAAGGTCAGGACAATTGGAAATCAAAAGTTGAAAATTTGAAAGAGGAGCATTAAAGTGAAGTACCAGACTCCAGTCTAGGAGCAGGTGATACAGACCATCATCGTGGAGAGCACCACGTCAGGCTTACCCCTTGCACTAATAAAATCATTAATCCTCCTGAGTAGAATTGCCGGAGTGATGCCTGTGGATCCAGTGAGTGGTGATACAGTCTCTGGGTAAGACAGTGTAGATGCTTGCACTTCTAGGAACAAAACAGAAGCACTGAAAATTATTATCAGATTGTATTGCAGTCAGACTCCATATCGCGTTCACATTTGTAAGTTCTAAGTGGCCCATTCATTTCAAGTGACATCTGAGTCAATATACTTTCAATATGTAAAACGTTGCTTTTATAATGGGATTTGATGTGTGTTTTCGTTAGCTCTTCCTGTGTCCATGAGTTGGTGAATTGTTACAAGGTTTTTTATATTGCATATGGAAATTTGATAAAGGAAGAGATTTCAAGCATATCAGTATGACTTGATAAAAAATACTTATACCAGCATGGGCTTTTCAAGATTTTGTACCTTTTTAAGGAGAAGGGAGAGGAACTCCCATGGCCCTAGACCTGATTTCCTTGTTGGTATGGAGCTGGGGTTAGGCATCTTAGCGTTCTGTGCTGTGCACGATGTTTGGCATGTGGTGAGTACTCAGTAGATATTTGTGGAACAGATTCTACTGTGGACATTTAAAACAGATGGCTTTTTCATTCATTACTGTAATTTGTATGTTTGCTTTTTAGATTTTCTCAGCTGAAGGGCCTAAACTTGTCCCATAATAAACTTGGTTTGTTTCCTGTATTGTTATGTGAGATTTCTACCCTCACTGAGCTCAACCTCTCCTGTAACGGAATTCATGACCTGCCGAGTCAGATTGGCAGTCTGCTGAAGTGAGTATCTGACTTTTGCTAGACTCATTTTTTACTGGCAGCATCAGGAGCTTGTCTGGCATTCGGAGTGAAGGTAGTCACATGAGCTCTGGCAGTGAAGTGAATCATGTAATTTTGAGGATTCTAGACAGCAACTCTTACTAGCTTGCCGGGGCAACTCCTTAGCCCCTCGGTTTCAACAGCAGAGGCTCTAACTATTTTTGATGGTGGAGGGACCATCCATGGCAGTTATGTGTGTCATTGAGTCTCCATAGGTGGCGTGTTTTATCGTTATTGGATTCATAATAAATTAGTGATATAGTCAGAATATATCTCTCTAGTGCTATCCATTCCAGTTAAAACCTTTCCTAAAGTCTGTTTTTTGTTTTCTTACTACAGTCTTCAAACCCTCTGTCTCGATGGCAACTTTCTGACGACTTTACCGGAAGAATTGGGAAATCTGCAACAGCTTTCTTCCCTGGGAATTTCCTTTAACAACTTTAGTCAAATTCCAGAGGTTTATGAGAAACTCAGTATGTTAGATAAAGTGGTTATGGCGGGAAATCGCCTGGAAGTCCTAAAGCTTGGGGTGCTGAGCAGGATGAGCCATATCAGACATGTGGATTTAAGGTGAGGCCTTTCTTCAGATGGATCTCTGATGGTTTCTTATGTTTGCTCTGTACGAACACTTCTGTAAAACACCAGGATTTTAGAACAGTGTCTGTTGTCCAAACTATAGTAAAGCTTCATTTTTTCACTCAATAGCGGACAGATTATGAGTGAGTTGGGTATACCACACGATACTTTCACAGTATCTTTGACACAGGTTGTTCTGACTTACCATCTCAGCAGCCTTTTATAGAATGCCCACTTCTTCATGTCCTTGTCAGTGTTGGATTTTAGCAGTCTTTTTCCTTATTGTCAGTGTAGTAGGAGAGAATAGTACTTCATTGTTTAAACAGCATTTATGAGTGAGATTGAGCATCTTTTTAATATGCTAATTGGTAGTTTGTATTTTTCCTTACACTTGACCATTTTTCTGTTGAATCATTGGGTTTTTTCTTGAGATCCATTGTATTACAATTAAAATGTTAAAGGTTTTCCTGTCATTTTTTTGTAGGTTTTAATTTTCTAGCTATAATATTTTCCTAAAGGAAGCTGGTAAAAGACACATACATATAAAAGACACATATGCATAGTGTAAATGTACTTTCATTTACACTAAGCCATTGATGTTCGTTGTAAAGAAATAGTAACACAAAAATTTATTGAAATACAAGGGAATAAGAACATGTCTGTGTGTTCTCTACATAGAAGAGAACTAAGAAGCCATTTTCTGTAATTCGCCCTTGAACTATTCCATATAGATACATATTATTTTCCTTTGCTATAATTAACGTGATGTGAATCTTACCACAAGGAAGAGTAGGCAGAGCCCCGAGAGAAAGTATGGCTGCTTCCTCTTGTTTTCTACATGGTACACCACGACCGCTTTGCTTCTCACTAACCTGAAAGTTATGTTCCTCCTCTTGTTCCTTTGGCCTGCTTCTTCATCCCTGCCTAACTTTACTAAGTTTTTAATGATTTGTAAGCGTGGTCCCTCTTCCCTTTCTCTTTAACTTGTATATGTTTTTGCAAGTCTGGATCATCTAAGTTTATAAACAGAGAATCAGGGTACAGCTGTCCGTGCAAAATGAAGCAAGTAGTTAACTTTTGAGTAGTTTAGCAAAGAGAAAGGGATCATACTTCTCTTATTTTTATTTTGGTAAGCACATTTAGTAGAATTTATTTCTAATGATTTCCTTATTTCTGAATATTTAAGGATGAACCATTTGAAAACTGTGGTTACTGAAAATCTGGAGGCAAATAAGTACATCACTCATATGGATCTGCGGGACAATCAACTGTCTGACTTAGATCTTAGCTCCTTGTGTAGCTTGGAGCAGCTGCACTGTGAAAGGAACCAGCTGCGAGAGCTGACGCTCAGTGGCTTCTCCCTCCGAACTCTCTACGCCAGTTCCAACAGTGAGTTCTCCATCCAGCCTCCTGTTTTCTCTCATGTAGATCTTGTCTGAGTTTTTTCTTTTTATATATATTTTTTTTCCTCTTTTATTAAGATTTTATTTTTTATTTTCAATGATTTTATTTATTTATTTGACAGAGAGATTGAGAGAGGGGACAAGCAGGGGGAGCATCAAGCAGAGGGAGAAGTAGGCTTTCCACTGAGCAGGGAGCCCATGCGGGACTCAATCTCAGGACCCCTGAATCATGACCCGAGCCGAAAGCAAGTGCTTGACTGACTGAGCCATCCAGGCCTCCCAAGATTTTATTTATTTATTTGACAAAGAGAGTCACAGCAAAAGAGGGAGCGCAAGCAGAGGGCGTGGGAGAGGGAGAAGCAGGCTGCCCGCTGAGCAGGGAGCCCAATGTGGGACTTAATCCCAGGATTTTGGGATTAGGACTCAAGCCAAAGGCAGATGCTTATAAATGAGCCACCCAGGCACCCCTCATCTGAGTTTTCTAAGAACAGTGGCATCTGTGGTGTTGCTCAACCACTCTGCAAAGTGTAGTTTGAGGTTCGTGGAGACCAGCTTTGTCTTTCAAGTTTGCTGTCAACACTTAAGTGGTTGAGATATGCATAAAAAGTCATTGCAGGATACTTGGATATTCACTAAGGAAGTATAATAGGCATTTTGCAAAATAACGAGGGGTAGGGAGGTGGTCAAGCATGTTCAAAATAGAGTATCAATAATAGGCTAGAAAAAGTGTTGACAAACTACAGCCCAGGGGCTAGATCTGGCCACCACCTGTTTCTGTAGGGCCCACGAGGAAGGGGTTTATACATTTTTTAGTGGCAGGGTTACGAGATCAAAAGAGTAATTTTTACTTGGAAAGTTCTATGAAATTCAAATCTCAGTGAATAGACTTTGGTTGGAACATGCCCACTGTCATTTGTTTACAGGTTACTGGTCTCCCGAGACAGTGGCAGAATGAAGTTGCTGTAAGAGAGACTGGAGGGCCTGCAAAGCCTAAAATATTTGTCACAGGCTTAGCCCTTTACTTTTGCCCATCTCTAGTCTAAAACTTCGTGCTGCTTCAGTTCTAGAATGAGAAGCCACTCACTTCAATAGTGATTTGCTCCAGGAACACTTTTAGGTGTAAAAGCCCCCATATTTGTTGGGGCCATTCTTTTTATGGAGTTTTCTTTACCAAGGAAATTATAATTACTTTTTCTGTACTAAGGAAGGGATGGGGGAAAATGTTGAGTATCACTAAGTGTCAAAGAGTGCAAATTTTGATAATGCCATTGTATACTCAACAAATTAAAAAAAAATACTGCGAAGTGCTTTGAAGATGTGGAGAAGCAGCTCTCACACATTGTCAGTGAGAGGGTCATTTCGTAAAACCCCTTGGGAGAGCAATTAGACAGTGTTAAAAGAAGTCAAAGATGCATGTAGCCCATATTCTGACAGTTTCTCCATTTGGGATATCTCCCAGAAGTCCTCACATCTGCATAAGGTGATGTTCCTTATGGTGAAGAAAAAAAATATGACTATTGATAGGAAGACATATTTATACAATAGAATGTTGCACAGCAATGGAAATGAATGCCCTGAAGCTCTCTGTGTTAATCTGGGCAAATCTTAGAAACGTTATTTGAGGGGGAAAAAAAAAGCATAATTATATGTATACCAAGATAGTTGTTAATCAGATTCTCAAACACACAGAAATGTTGTTTCCTTAGCTATATGTATGCCATAACAGTATAAAAGTACCCGTAGGAGAGATAAAAATCATATTCAAAATGATGTTTACCTCTTGGTATGTGCAGTATTTTAATTCTTTGAAAAGTCTATATAAGGCAGAATGTGAAGATTCACTAAAAGCTGGATGATGGGTGGATGAGTGTTCATTATCCTCTTTTCTGAACCTCTAAAATACATTTTTAGGATAAAAGATAAGGACTTCTCTTTTCATTTCCTTTATCATGCTAGAGAAGTTTCAAATTGTAGCTTAGATTAATAGCTTAGGTCCAAACAGTGTCACAGCTGATGAATGTCCACTTGTGCTGTTTATAGATATTACTGTGAGATGATTGTCTTTCTTTTGTGATGTAAATACTTGTTTTCAGGCCCATTCTCTATTCTAAATGTATCTAGAGAATCTGAATGAGTGGCCCTGCTGGAAAAGGCCTCATTGATGTACACCCTGTCTTAGGGACTGATTTTCTCTCACAGTGCCCTACTAAATGTGGCTTGCTTGAAGTTAGCAACTTAAGGAACCCTTAAGTTCTACAACCTGGAAGAATTTATACCAACAGTTGCAGTTCTGATGCCTCAAAAGTAAAGAACTCAGCTTTGCAAAAGAGGTTATCCAAGTTACCGTAGGAAGAGGAAAAGGCACTCAACCTCACTGGTCATCACGGATATGCAAATTGAAACCCCAGAGTGACACCACTGCGCACCTACCAGAGTGACTAGAATAGAAAAGACTGAAAATGCCAGCATCTGCTGTTGTGGGTGTAAATCAGTGCAACCACTTTGGAAAACCAAAGAATTGTCTACTCTCTCTCTTGCCCTCCTATCTTATACCAGCATAAGTGCTGGTATGTCTGTGTCCACAAAAGACATGGACAAAAATGTTCATGGAAGCAGTATTCATAATTTCATAGTGACCCCAAACTGTAAAAGATTTCAATGCCTACCAACTCTAAAATGGTTAAATAAATTGTGGTATACTTACATAGAAAATTTGATACGGCTGTGAGAATGAGTGAACTACAGCCGTATGTAGTAATAGCACCAAATCTCCCAATCACGGTGTGGAGGAAATAAAGCCAGACAGATAATTATGCAGACTGTGTGTGTTTATATGGATAGGCAAAAATGATCGGTGGTATTTGGAGTCAGGGTAGGGTTGCCTAGCTGGGGAGTGACTAAAAGGGAAAACGGGGGGTCTTGGGGGCAGCTGGTAATGCGCTGTTTCTTGATCTGGGTACTGGTTACCCCATTGGGTTCTGTTTGTAAAAATTCGTTGATCTATACACTTAAGATTGTTGTACTTTACTGTATTTATGTTTTACTTTAATTAAAAGTTAAAATATTGCCAGTAAAAATCCAATCATTATTACTATTTTTTAAGTTTAAAAGCTAAGTAGTCAAGTAGTCAAGTAGTCACTGTTGACTGCCTGAGCTAATGTGAATTCAGATCAGTACATAGGATCCTTCTATTAGTTGTTTTATTTGGTTTTCAGATCAGGATCAGGTAGTCAAAGTTAGTCATTGCAAGTTACCCAGGTTTTTGTCTTCAGTCCATCTCAGTAGATGACATCAGTTTTCTCCCTGGTGATCTCACGGAGCCACTTTGCCCTTGTTTACTCTCAGTTACTTTCTTCTTTGGAGAGTGTCACTAACACCTGTTTGTTTTTTGATTAGGGCTGACAGCAGTGAATGTCTATCCAGTACCCAGTCAACTCACTTCTCTAGAACTTTCCCGGTGAGTGTGTCTCATGAGAGTGGTGCTTGATTCTTAATGTTTAAGAGATAGATGTGGATACTTTGGTGGTTTTGAGGTATAAGAGATCTAAGTACATGGAAATATTTGGATAGCCTGGAGAAGGGAGAAAGGATGAGAGGAGGAATACTTTTAATTGCCATACTATTTCAAGGGAAGGTCCTCTTGAAACAGAAAGGTGCCTGTGAATTATTCTTAAAGTCTGGGAATTTAGAGGGAGGTGCAAACAAAGAAGATCTTTTATCTTCTTCGTGGCAATGATTTCCTTTTTGCTGATTGAAATCAGATAATTCTTGGTTTTTAGTGACTTATTTTTAAATTTTTCTTCTCTTAATTATTTGGTATTCTTATGACCCATGTTGGTCTGATGGTCAGAGAAATATTAATTATATATTAATTATATTCCATTGATGGTCAAGAACAAATATAACTGAGGTATGCTTCCTTCCCTTCATTTCTAACACTGTTGGGCATTCAGGATTCAGTGGTTGAGTTTTATGGTCTGGTGGAGAGTTTGACAACCAAACAGACAATTACAGGGTAGCTTCTTAAATGCCGTGATCATGGAGTGATAGAGCAGGTAGAAGGTGGACAGGGTCCTATATGGTTAGCGTCAAAGATTAAATGAGATACTAAATGCAGAAGATTTGTATGGTGCCTGGGACAAAATAGTCTTTCAGGAAATAGTGACTCTTAGAGCCAGGTTTCTTTTTATTGTTACTTTGTTACCATTATTATTAAGCTGTTGTTCTAGATTCCTTTCCATCCCCTTCTTTCTGTCATATATTCTTAGCAAAACCACAGCATGGGTCAATACTAAGATTTACCTTCTCCTCTGGGCTTGATCATTGCTAAAGAAAATCATACGGACATCACTGTAAAGTCACAATTTCCAACCTCAGCTGGAGCTGATCAGTCTTTTCTCTTGTCGGGTCCTTCCAGTGTCCTGGGCATCTGCTCCATGTGGCTTGGCTTCCCTCCGCTGCTCTGCCCCCCATCTCCTGCGCTCCAGAGCTTAGCTCCTCACTGGATTGGGAAAATGAGATCATCTTAGGCCGTCTCCCTCAGCTTCCTCCCACCTTGCTTGAAGGCATGTAGATTGACATCCATTCTCCACTTCTTTCCTCTATTCGAGTCCAGGCCAGCCTCTCGGCCCGGGCCGGCAGCCGCTCCCCTGCTCCACACCTCGCTCTGTGAGTCACCACTTTCTCCCTTCGTGTGTGGTCGTGGTCTTCCCTCTTCTCCATCCACTCACACTCACACCTCTTCTGTCTTAAAAAACACAGGTACTTGCAGCCCCTCTAGGTCTTATCTAATTCTTCACATTCCCTTTTTGTCCAAATTTCTCAGTAAGTATGTTCATTTGCTGGCTCAGATTCCTCGGTTCCCATTCGTTTATTCCGTCACAGCTTGCTTTCAGCCTTCTCATATGGAACTTCTTTATGTCGACACTGTCATTCCTGCTCTCTTTTCTTCAAGCACGCTTTTTCCTCAGCTGGCTAATAAAATCAGATTTTTTTCATGCGGCTTCGACCCCTCCTGTCTCCTGCGCGCTCTTCTTCCTCAGCCAGCCTTTTACAGGTCCCTTATTCTGGGTCTGCCCTTGCCTGCTACGTTCTCATGCAACAGAGTCTCATTTACTCCATTAGTTCAGCTACCCCTAGCGTCAGCATCACCTAGATCACCAGTCCGGACCCCTTCCAGCCTCAGACCGATGTGTCCAGTTGCGTGTTAGGGATTTTTTGACCTGCCTGTCTCCAAGTACTTCAAACATGTGCCAAGTGAAACTCCTTATTCACTCCTCCAACCCTAGGTTAGCTTGTTGTCTTATGTCTGCTTCAGCTTTTGGGATTAGCATAAGATAGTCCTATGAGATGGACACCACTTGCAACTTACATTTCCAACCTCTTGGAGCCCACCAGTCCTTTCTCGGGATATGATTTTTCTCCCTAGATGAAAAGCCTGAAAATCATTTTTTATTCTTCTGCTCTACTCCCATGTCTAATTCATCTCCCAGTTGCTTTGATTTTTGCCTCCTAGATATTTCTGGAATCCCTCCCCTCCTTTCCTTTTGTCTTACCACCCACTTGCGCCCATACCATGTCTTGTCTGGAAATCTGTAGCAGCTTCCTTTTACTAAAAAAAAGCACCTCAGCCAGACCTCTGAGTATCCACAGGGTGAGCTATTGAAGGTACAACACTGACTGCTTACAGACCCTTCAGTGATCCTCCTGTCCCTGCAGGATAAAGTCACAATCTTGTACACATGATTTACATCCTCCCAGCTTGTTTCCTCCCCCTTGGCTCCATATTTGCTGCTCTGGCCTCACCAGACTGCTTATTATTCCTCACATACACCATGCCCTTTCTTTTCTTCTTGCTGCTCTACCTCATGTTGTCACCTCTTGCTTAGTATGTCTTTGTCATCTTGGGTCAGTGTACAACATTCTTTAGATTCTAACCCAGATGTCGTGTGTCTTGGGGGAGCTGGCCCTGATCCATGTCAGGCAAAGTGCTCCCTTCACTTGGCTGTTGTAGCAGTATCTGCTTCTTTCTGCCTCATGATGTGATCTGTCCATCAGTAGATTCTTTGAGCCTTTGCAAAGCTAAGTATCATCTGAACATAGAATTCCTTGTGCTAACTATCTGCTGTGTGGCCTGGACTCACATTGTGAATGACTTGAAGCTTCTGCCACCACTTACCTTCTGTCCCCACTTCCTCACCTGTGTATTCACTTGGTTCATTTTCTCTACAATTTTCCTTCTCTTCTCCTCCAGTCATTTATTACCTGTGCAAATCCCATTCATCTTTGAAAGTTTGTTTAGAATGCCACTGATTTCATTGTCTTACCTTCGCCCATCTCTCTACTCTGTGCTTTCCTTGGTGCTCGGAGCCTCGGTGTCTTCTTTGAGCAGGTAGCATAATTGATGGAATATAATACATGTTCATGTGTTTGTCTCTCTCTTCCTATCAACAGCATTCATTGAGCGCCTTCCATATTCCAGGTGGCGTGCTAGGGATGCTTTGGGAAGAGTGCTTCTGCCCTCAAGGCGCTCACAGGCTGGTTAACAGATATATTACAGACAAGTGAAATGAGTTCCGCTTGTCATCTTCAGTGATGCCTTTTAATTATTTTCTGTAGAAACCTGCTAGAGTGTGTCCCTGACTGGGCCTGTGAAGCAAAGAAGATGGAAATATTAGATGTGAGCTATAATCTTCTGACAGAGGTTCCCATGAGGTACGTGAGTTTTATGCATCTGTAATTCTTTGCCTAGGTTTGGGTTGCCTTTTTTTTTTTTTTTTTTTAAGATTTAATTTATTTATTTGAGAGAGAGACAGAAGGGGAGGGGCAGAGGGAGAAGCAGATTCCCCAAGCAGTATGCCCAACTTGGGACTCCATTCCAGGATCCTGGGATCACAGCCAGAGCCAAAGTCAGACACTGAATTGACTGAGCCACCCAGGTGCCCCTTGGGTTGCCTTTCAAAGGTTTTTCATTCCTTTTTGTTGTTGTTGTTAAATATTGAGTACTTGCTGAGTGCAGGGCAGTGTGAAGTGTGGTAAGGAATACAGTGATGGCTAATGCACAGGGTTGGCCTGCATGAACTGGTAAGTGGAGAGTTGGGATGACTTGTGCACAGATAACTGTGATAAAATGTAACAAGAGCTATTGGCATAGATCAGGGACTTGATTATGATAATAGATCATTTGTATTGAATAAGTTATTAGGAACTGAGTAATAGTCTAAGAATCTCAATTTTATTATCTTATTAATCCTTTAACCATGTTATTAGATAGACACTTATTCTCATCTCACAAATGAGGGAATGAGGACCTGTCGCGGTTAGGTAACTTGCCCAAGGTCACGCTTGACTAGGAAATGATGGGAGCTGACATTTGAGTGTAGTCGTTCTTATTCTGAAGCCCTCACTCTTCATCATTACGCTGTATGAATCAAATGTTTTAGAAATTCACAACTTTCAATGGTTAGAGAATGCTTCATGAGAGATTTGCATATTCAGGACGACCTTTTTACAAGATGGTAAGATTCTGTATGTGGACGGGGAGAGAAGGAGGTACTAGGGGTGAGTGAGTGGAATATTCAGAAGCACTGAGGTGTAAAAGTGTAGTTGTACCTAGTGGAGTCTTTAAAATAAACTAGAGGCTTGCAGCATAGTAGGTGTGAACGCAGCCTTTGGAATCAGACCTTAGTTCTAGTCCCGGCAATACAATTTCCCACATTCAGTGTGAGATCTTTGGGAAATCGAAGTCCCTTAACCCTTCTGAACTTAATAGTTAAATTGGCTTGGCACATTTTAACTCTAAATAAGTAGTAATTTTTGTTATAATAAATGTTTTTATTTATTACATTCAGTTACAGTTGACCCTTGAACAGTGTGGAGGTTATGGGTCCCGGCCCCCGCAAAGTTGAAAATCCACATGTAACTTTTGACTCCCCCCCCCCCACCAATCAGAGCCTACTGTTGACCAGAAAGAAGCCTTACTGATCACATAAACAGTTGTGTTTTGTATGTTATATGTATTTTATACTCTGTTCTTAAAGTAAGCTAGAGAAAAGAAAACCTCATTAAAGAAAATCATGAGGAATAGAAAATACATTTACAGTACTTTGTTGCCTTTATTAAAAAAAATCTGCACATAAATGGACCTATGCAATTCAAATCCATGTTGTTCAGGAATAAACTGTGTATTAATAAACTCACTGAATTTTGGTGCTGTCTAGACTTAAAATATAAATCAATTTATTCTACAAATTGCTTTTTTTGTTTGTGTGTTTGCTTAGATCTGTGTTGTTTGCTTTCATTAAGTCACCTTTTCCCAAAATGACCTTATAATGACTTCCTGGTGGGTGGTGGGTAAGCATATGGTCATGGCCGCCCTTTTGGCTCAGGTGCTTGCCAGTGAGGAGACTGTCTAGAATAGGCTTCTCTTAATTTACTGATTTCAGGGAGATGGCCAAGGGCATACTCAGAAACTGTGATTTAAGGAAGGTTTTCATTTGTTTCTTTGTACTGTTGCCCTTAGAATCCTTAGTAGCTTGAGTCTCAGAAAGCTAATGGTGGGGCACAACCAGGTGCAAAGCCTCCCGGTGCTGGCGGAGCACATCCCTCTGGAGGCGCTGGATATTCAGCATAACCTGCTCACCAGGCTGCCAGACACGCTCTTCTCCAAGGCCTTAAAGTAAGTGCCACAGCGTTTATTGAAAAGAGAGTCATCAGTACAAACAGTATTGACTTGTCATTGGCATGACCTTTGGAACTCTATTTACAGTGTTTGCCGTGTGGTCCAACTATAGGTGGGGTTGACTTATATGAGTAATTTATAGGAAATGAAACATGGCATGTAGTCTTTAACTCAAGAGTTGAAATAACCATCAAATGGTGAAGAAGTTTTAGTGTTGCCAACAATTTCAAGCAGCTTGGGAAATTTCAAACAGGCTTTCATCTCTGAAAATGAATATATTTATGACCTCTTAAAGAAAAATTACAGCATTCTGATAAAGCTTTCTTGGGCAATTTTCAGCTTTTGCATATGGGAGAAAAGGACATATCAGTAAAGTTAATTTAGTTTTTGCTTCTTGCTTTACCAAGCTATCATCAAGTTATATTCTTAATGTGCAGTGCTTTTTTACTACCTACTTTGAAAACTGTGCATTTAAAGGTAACTTTGTTCCAAAAGGTGTTTTTTGTATTTTCATTGTAAATTAACAAATAGATAGTGTGTCTGCCTGTTATTTCCTGTAATCAGGTTTATCTTATGCATATGTTACCATTAAGTGAAAACTCATTTTAATTATAGTCTTCTGCTATATTGTCTTCAGTTTAGAGATGGAGAAAACAGAGATGAGCATTAGTAATTTAACATAAGGCTATAGGATACATATGAAAAGCGTTTAGCTCACAAGTGTCTGGCTTACTCTTTGGCAGCTTATATATCGCTAAATGTATAATATACTTGTTTGGATTTTCGTAAAAAAAAAATCTTTGGAAATTCTATAAAATATTTGAGGGCACTTTTCTTTTTGGAAAGCTTATATGGGATTTTACTGCAGTAACATTTAACTTGTTAATTAATAAATATTTGTTAGTAATGCATAACACTGCATTTAGCTCTTTTTTTTTTTTAAAGATTTTGTTTATTTATTTGACACGTAGAGATCACAAGTAGGCAGAGAGGCAGGCGGTGGAGTTGGGGGGGAAGCAGGCTCCCCGCCGAGCAGAGAACCCGATGTGGGGCTCGATCCCATGATCCTGAGATGGTGACCTGAGCCAAAGGCAGAGGCTTTAACCCACTGAGCCACCCAGGTGCCCGGTCTTTTCTTTTTTAGCAAGAGGGGAAAGGCTAGAGGGAGAGAGAATCTTGAGCAGGCTCCATGCCCAGCATGGAGCCCATCACAGCGCTTCATTTCACAACCCTGAGATCATGACTTGAGCTAAAATCAAGAGTTGGATGCTTAACTTGACTTGAGTCACCCTCTTTTTTTTTTTTTTTTAAGATTTTATTATTAAGGAATTTCTGTACCCAATATAGGGATTAAACCCACAATCCCAATGTCAAGAGTCAGATGCTTAACTGACTGAGCCACCCAGGTGCCCTCTTTGTTGTTGCTGTTGTGGTTGTTGTTGTTGTTGTTCAAGTTTTTATTGTTAAGCAATCTCTACACCTAACATGGGTCTTGAACCCACAGCCCCAGGATCAAGAATCGCACACGCCACAGACTAGGCCAGCTGGGCGCCCCTCTGCATTTATTTCTTTCCTTTTCCCTCCCTGTTGCATTTAGTTCAAATGACAGTCTGAATAAAATTATTTTACAACCTTAGAATCTGTAGTAAGGAAGCTACTTAGTAGCTATAGCAAACTGTCAATGATATTAATTTAATACTAACTCTGCACAGAGCACTTTCGGGACATATAAAGACATACACATATTAACAGTTCCCTCAATAGCTAAAAAGCTAATTAGGGATGTGAATCACACAATGTGAGGAAGACTTAACACACAACAAGGTTAACAATAATAGTTGTCTTTTATGGAGCACGTTCTGTATATACCAAACACCACGCTAGGCAAATTTTAAAAATCATACCATATGTTATCTGTTAGATTGGTGGAGATTAAAATGAATTATGATATTCATTGTTGACAAAGGATTGAGCAAACTGACTTTCTTATATCCTTCTTGTGGAAGGTATAACTTGATAAAGCTTTTCTGGAGCTCAGTTTGACAATGCATATATACCCGAATCTTAAAGGTGAATGTATCTTTTGACCCTATAAATTCTGCTTCTGGGAATATAGCCTAAAGAAATAATTAGATAAGGACACAAAGTTGCTCATTATGATGTCTCTAATTGCGAATAGGTGCCAACAGCCTATATGCCCATCATTAGGGGACTATCAGGGAATTGTCTAAATAAATACGATCCTATTAAAATCAGACCAAAAGTTCCCTGAAGGGTGTCTTCACCATTGATAAATTTGTAAACATGAGATTCAACAACACCTTTTCTGTGGACAACAGACAGTAGAAGATGAAACTAGGTTAGTTAGAATCAGGCCACTGCAGAAGCCTGGGAACATAAGCAAACCTAAATTCTTTGCTCTCTGCTTTGCTTGCATGAGTTGAATAAAAGGAACTTTGGTTGGGTGGATAGAATCAATTAGAAAAATACTCTGGAGGAATTGACTTGTGTCACAAGTTTGGGAGCAGTGTCCCATAGTGAGATGGGAGGATGGTAACAAATAGCCATAAAGGAAATGGTGATTTCTGTGTGTTGTGTCAGTCTCAGATACTTGAATGCATCTGCAAACAGTCTGGATTCTTTGCCATCTGCTGGCGCTGGAGAGGAGAGTCTGAGTGCTCTGCAGCTGCTCTATCTGACCAACAACCTCCTGACAGACCAGTGTGTGCCTGTTCTGGTGGGCCACCCGCACCTGCGAATCCTGCATCTTGCCAACAACCAGCTACAGACCTTTCCTGCAAGGTGAGCAAATGTACCCGCTGGTCATTTCAGACACTTAGGGTGAAATCTGCATTTGCCAGTCTACCTTAGAGTTCTCTTACTGGATGCTCTTGCTTTGTGTTGAGCAACTTTCTGGTACTGTGGTTCCACTAGTTGAATGAGAAAATCTGTATCTAATTGTTAAATATCAGTAACCAGAGAAGTTGTAGATAAAATGCACTTAATTCTTTGTTCTAAGTACTTAATAATGGTCTCAGAATTTTCAACCTATAAAAGTACAAGCCTAAGAAATACATTCTGAAAACAATGTTTTCTTTTCCCTTGTCAGCTCTGTTTTATAATATATTGTTGAGTCCATTAATTTATTCTTTATATATATATAAAATATATGTATATTATATATAGTATGTCTACTTTATGTCAAGTTCTGCATAAGTACTAGGGAAACAGTGGTTAGGTAACAGTCTCTGTCATCATTACAGTAACTTACCGTCAAGCTGGGGACACAGACAAGTAATGGGCAGTTGCAGTACAGTGTAACAAATGCGCAATGTCAAGAATACACACAGGTAGCTTGCTGCACTGGACGGTCCCTGGGGATGGGGTTGCCCTCCAGGAGGAAGAGATGAATAGTAGTTAGCCAGACTCTACCCACAAGAAAACATAACAGAGCTATTTAATGCTGTTAAAGTTTTAAACAGTATCAGTGGAGAAATCAATATTTTCCAAAATATATTTGATTAAAAGATTTTGGAAAATTTGATGCCAGAAGAATCTGTACCATGAAAGTCATCATTAAAAAAATGATGTTTTCTTTTTTTTTTTTAAGAGTTTATTTATTTATTTGACAGAGAGAGCGATCACAAGTAGGCAGAGAGGCAGGCAGAGAGAGAGGGGGAAGCAGGCTCCCTGCTGAGCAGAAAGCCTGACGCAGGGCTGGATCCCAGGACCCTGAGATCATGACCCAGGCCAAAGGCAGAGGCTCAACCCATTGAAACACCCAGGCACCCCAAAAATGATGTTTTCAAAAATGAAGCCAATAGGGAAATGATGTTTGATATAATTTGAATGAAATTATATGTATCATATAAAATTATGTTTGCTGTAATTTGAAATTATGTTTGATATAATTTGAAAACAAAACTATTTTGATATTCTAATTTTATTTTATAGATTTTTCTTAGAAATGTAATAAACTTGGGGTGCCTGGGTTGCTCAATCGTTAATGGTCTGCCTTCGGCTCAGGTAATGATCCCAGGGTCCTGGGATTGAGCCCACACTGGGCTCCCTGCCGAGCAGGGAGCATTTCCCTCTCCCACTCCCCCTGCTTGTGTTCCCTCTCTCGCTGTGTCTCTGTCAAAAAAATAAATAAAATCCTTTTTTAAAAAAGAGAGAGAAATGTGATAAACTTAGAAAAACTCATAGAGATCATAGTTTTATGAATGTTTATGAAATGAGGTATTTGCAGCTTATAAAAGACAAGCAGGATGAACTTGATGGCTTCCTAAAAGAATTTGAACAATGGCTTTTTAAGTGAAGGCAGAATCTTGGGGCACCTGGGTGGCTCAGTCGGTTGAGCATCTTCCTTCAGCTCGGGTCATGATCTTGGAGTCCTAGGATCAAGCCTCACGTCCCTAAGCAGGGAGTCTGGTTCTCTGTCTCTCTCTCTCTCTCAAATAAATAAAATCTTAAAAAAAAAAAAAGTGAAGGCAGAATCTTAATTTCAGCATGTGAGAGGTCTCTCGAAATCCTATCAGATTAATTCCACTGGCCTCAGATACGTTCCTGTAAAGTGGAAACAACAGACCATTGACAAGTCATACTGGTTTTTGAAGCTTTTGGGAGATAGTGGATGGAATGCTCTGAAGCTGATGAATTCCTCTTAATCTGATGACATTCTTATTGGACACATTAAAAGCAGGCTGATACAGAACTTAAAATACCTCAAAGGTTACGAAAATAGGTTAGAACATAAAAAGTAATAGAAGATTACACAAAATTAGAGTATTCTGAATACAGAGAATAAAACTAAATGGAATTTAGGAGCAGTGTATTAAAGAAAATGTTCTACACTGAATCATAAACCCACTAACAAGTCATCTCCTGAGCAGTGTTTAATTACACAGGCGTAGTCCAAATCTTCTGTTTCTTTTGGACTTCTTTTTCAGAATCTAGTGTAGCTCTGGGTGCTCAGTAAGAGGCTGGCTAAAATAGGAATGCTACATTATTATTTACAAATTAGATCTAAGCAGGGAGTAGTATAAAAGAAAAGCATGAGATTTGGACAGGAGAACATTTTAAAAATGTTAATTTGTTAATTTTAAAATGTTAAATTGTTAAGTTAAAAAAAGGCAAATTATTAAACATATATAACATTTTTTACTTTGAAAAATATAGTTTACTGCATTAAAAAAGACAAGAAAGAATACCCTCCACCAGATTGTTATGAGAGATTATCTCTGGTAGTAGGATTAAAAGATTTTTTTCTGTTTATCTCTACTTTTCAGTTTTTTTTCAATGAGTATGCATTACTATTATAGTAGGAAAGAAAACAATTTGAATTTACTGAACTTATTCGAAAGTATCTATGAATTTTCTAGCAATAGAAATTACTTATGATACATGGAAAGGGCAGGAGATAAATTTTATGTAAGACAAATATGCAAATGAAAATTCTGCATATGCATCTCATTTAGCAGAAACAGTAATTTCAGATTGGTGGTATTATTGTTTTATTTTCTAAACTTCCTCTTCACCTTATAGGACTTTATTTTTATAATTTTTTAATTAATAAATTATAAACAGAGCAGTTTGTAATAATTTAGGTAAAGATGTTAGGCTGTCTGGAGATACTTTGCATGCTGTGTAAAAGTTTTGCTGAGGGGCACCTGGGTGGCTCAGTCGGTTAAGCCTCTGCCTCTGGCTCAGGTCATGATCTCAGGGTCCTGGGATCAAGCCCCGAATCAGGCTCTCTGCTCAGCGGGGAGCCTGCTTCCTCCTCTCTCTCTGCCTGCCTCTCTGCTTACTTGTGATCTCTGCCTGTCAAATAAATAAATAAAATCTTAAAAAAAAAAAAAAAAAAGCTTTGTTTAGGCCCGCAGAACAGTGAGTCACTCACATCATAGTCCCTGGCACGTCGCTCGCTGCGTGCAGAGCGAGCCCTCCTGAGATGTCTACTGAAGGTGGATTATGTGACGCACAGGTAGCTGTAGAGACTTAGCCCTGAAAGGAATCTTAGCGATGATTTAGTACAACTTGTTCATTTCACAGCTGAGGATGTTGATGCCCGCTGACATTAGATCGTGTGGTATTTTGCAGCTAGTTAGCAACGGCCAAGCTAGTCCCATGGTAATCCACTCACACAAGCCAGCACGGATTCAACCTCTTCCCCGTAAGTCAGATAACGGAAAGATGTTCATACCCACCAGATCTAAGAGCTGTAAGAGAAGCAAGGGAAGCTTCTGGCCTTGGAACCCAGTGAGACAGATGAGGCTGAGATTTAGGGAGCTGTCCCCTTTGCTGGCCTCTGGCTGTTTCATTCTGAGCAGCCTTCTGGCAGCGGACCAGGCCGCCGCTGTCACACCGGCTTGGTGGCGGCCCCCTGTGAATGCAGTGTGCTCTATGGTTGTTTCTTTTTCAGCAAACTAAATAAATTGGAGCAGTTGGAGGAACTGAACCTAAGTGGCAACAAGCTTAAAACCATCCCCACGACCATAGCCAACTGCAAAAGGCTTCACACCCTTGTGGCGCACTCCAACAACATCAGTATTTTCCCAGAGATACTGCAGTTGCCTCAGATCCAGGTACTTTTCTGTGACGGAGCAGTGTCCTGCTGGGGAAACGGCAGGTCACTCTCATAGAGGAGAAGAAAGTGGCAGTTTGGGATCACAACAAATTTAATCGATTCCTGGGAAGAAATTATTTCCTTTGAGGATATGGTAGGGGACTTTTAGGGATCTAAGAATTCAGTCTGTGATGTATTTTCTTTTGATTTCCCCATTTTCCTCTCAGTTTGTAGACCTAAGTTGCAATGACTTGACAGAAATCCTGATTCCCGAGGCTCTGCCTGCTACTTTACAAGACCTTGACCTGACTGGAAATACGAATCTGGTTCTGGAACACAAGACGCTGGACACATTTAGGTAGGAAAAATTTTGAAATTGAATCCACACGTGCTTTTAATTCCGTCAGCCATGCCGGTGATCTCCTATAGAAGTCGGTAGGGATCTTGATTCATTAAAGGAAATAGAATGAATTAGGCCATAGAGCCCCTCTATTCTTTTACTTAATTCAGTTATGGGTAGATATTCTATCCAGTAGATAGCCCATTTATATCGGAACTCAGCGTCATGGGTACTGCTCAGCCACACGCTGAATATCTGTACATAGACATTTTAGGTGGCTTGGATTACACTGCATTACATCATCTAAGAGACGATGCAACCTCACTCATTGTACCAAGCCCCAAGCCTTCATTGTATCAGAATATTTAAGTAGACAGTTGGCTAAGGCTTGGAAATCTTTGGATGTGCTTGGTTTTTCATTGAAATGAACAGTACCCATCGCCACAATATTTGGCTGCTGTATCTTCCTCCAACCCTTTTTCTTTCTCCTCCTCCTTAGCCTGTGGGTCAGCACACTACTTTCCTCGTTCTCTCTGGAGATGAGTCTTGGTCTGTCAGTAAATTATTTTATAAAAACACATGTTCTTTGGGGATAGTTTTTGTGAAACACAGAAGCCTATGTGGTCTCATCTTCCCTTCGTGCACTTTCCACAGCCATATCACCACCTTGAAAATTGACCAGAAACCTTTGCCAACCACCGATGCTACACTTACATCAACCTTCTGGAGCCATGGACTGGCTGAGATGGCAGGGCAGAGAAATAAGTGAGTATCTTGGCCATGGAGAAAAATTAAAAAGGCAGCCCCTGACATCTGATCTGGGGCTGAAAGCTGGGCCAAGTTGATTCCTGTGGGACATAAACACATCATAGAATGCCGGCATGAGAGAAGATCCCTCTGGGAGCATGGTGCAGTGAGACAAAACCAAGATGAACTCACAGTCCACAAAATACCGAACATCCCCTCTCATGGCTAAAACGGTGACTGCTACTCTCTCCTCACGCTAATCTTCTTTCCGTATAGATCAGATTCTCTGAGATACCCAGCCATAGAACGACCCCACTTTCCGACAGCACCTAATCTTGGTTTACTTCATCAGACCTTTTCCAAAATGACCCAGCGAAAGCCCAAACCCTCTCGTGGCTTTTTTCCAGCACACCTTTACCTGTTCACCCCAGAGTTCCGTGGTGGGCATTGTTCCTTGCTGCGAGGCGTAATAAGCCTAGTTTGCTCCGCCATAGTTGTGTTCCTGGGGGTCTCTGGCTGAAGGATGTTGACCATACTAGTCCTTAATCACTACTAAAGGAAAATGTTGACTCTTCCCAGCCTTCGGCAGCACCGCAAAGCGAGTATGTACTGCCCATGAGTGTGGCTGAATTCCCCCGTTTCTTATGACATCAGGTCTTTCAGGTGCTACTAATTACCTCATACTTTTTTCACGTGTAGATTAGAATTTACTACTGTTTTTTTCCACCCGCAGTTCATATTTTTCAAAGAAGGGTACCTGGAGAAGAATCCTTTTTACCATAACTTGCTTTGATGGTGGTTTTTCTCCTGTTTGTGTTACAGGCTGTGTGTCTCTGCCCTGGCTGTGGATAACTTTGCAGAGGGGGTGGGCGCTGTATACGGCATGTTTGACGGGGACCGGAACGAGGAGCTCCCTCGCCTGCTCCAGTGCACCATGGCGGACGTGCTTTTGGAAGAAGTACAGCAGTCAACAAATGACACGGTGTTCATGGCTAACACCTTCTTGGTATCTCACAGGTAAGCAGGTGGGTTGAATAATCCCTAACTCGGTTCTACTTTTGGAACGTAAATCTCACTAAGCCAGAAGGTCAGGGTCTAAATTTATAGGTACAGGATCAAGGTCTCACCTTGATCCTTCTGCTACAACTATTCTCTGGACCAGCATGGAGAAATGTGGGGCCTTTGGTCCTTTGTTTATTTATTTAAAGATTTTTATTTTAGAGAAAGAGTACGAGCATGGGGAGGGGCAGAGGGAGATGAAGAAGCAGATCCCCTGCTGAGTGTGGAGCCACACACAATGTGGGGTTCCATCCCAGGGCCCTGAGATCACAACCTGACCTGAAGGCTGATGCTTTTCTGACTGAGCCACCCAGGAGCCCGAGGACATTGGTCCTTTGAAGAGCCTGGGGAGCCATTTGTTTTCCCTGTTGAACCCAGAGGCTGCTGAGGATCTGGAAAATCCAGAAATCGTGTGTAGAAGGTTGATTGTGTATAAGTGCATTTGTACATTTGGGTGGTGTGTAAGCTTTTGTAAGATTCTTCACAGACTCAGTGACCTACAAAAAGTTAATGAGCACTGATCAGATTTGTGTGTTTAGAATACTTCTTATTGGGGATTTACCCATTAATCAGCCACTTAAGGGCAAAAACTATATAACCAAACTATTGAAAATCTCTTAGTAGCTAATACAGCCTCGTGTACATCAGGTGGGCTGTGGGAAGGCCGTGCACAAATGAGAGTTATAACCTTGTTCCATCCAGGTTGAGATGGAATAGCCTGGAGCCCAAGCTGGTATTACCTCTCATTATAACACAAAGCAAAGATGTCTATTTTTCAGTAATGGACTTGAGCTAGGAACTTGGCAAAGGAGGGAGTTTGGGAAAGAGAACTCAGTTTATGAAGCACCCCCAAGAGCCAGGCAGAAGACCAGTCTGTCTTTCTCATTCCATATCTTTAACTTTCCAAACAAGCCAAAGAAATGGGTATTTTCTCAGAAAAATTTCCCAGAGAAATATCTCGCTATGGATCTGCAGTGAGCAAATGACAGAGCTGGAATTTGCAACCGGATCCTTCTCAAAGTGTCTGCTTTGTGCTTAGCATTGGTGCCAGGTGCGAGGGGATGGATGCCATGTGTCCGGGACATAGAGGAGGGAGAGTGGTCCTTCTTTGGAGGACCTCACAGCCTAAGTGAGTGGTTCTCAAAGTGGTGTACTAGGAGCAGCACCCTCAGCACCACTAGGAACTTGTTAGAACAGCAGATTACTGGGCCAGCCCCTTACCCACTGCATCAGAAACTCTGGGGAGGGAGCCCAGCCATCTGTTCTAATGAGCCTGCCAGGTGACTTCTGATGGGCTGAAGTTGAAAGTGACCGAATGAAAAAACAGTCTATGATCAGACACAAGCAGAAGCTGTAGACAAAGATGTAGCTTCACTGGCTCCCCCACCCTCACCCTGTTTGTAAAATCTCTTTTCTCAGTCAGCTGTGCGTGGAAGGTGTGTCCTGTAGTTAAGAGTCTGCCTTCAGGTGACCACCGGGCAGCTGGCTCTTAGTCATGTGGCAGAGAAACGAGGAACACGTGGACACAAAGGACTGCTTCTTACTTGGACAACTTCATTTTCTTTCTTTCTTTCTTCCTTCCTTCCTTCCTTCCCTCCCTCCCTCCCTCCCTCCCTCCCTCCCTCCCTCCTTCCTTCCTTCCTTTCTTTCTTTCTTTCTTTCTTTTTTTTCCTCAATAGGAAATTGGGAATGGCTGGCCAGAAGCTGGGCTCCTCCGCTCTCCTTTGTTACATCCGCCCTGACACTGCCGACCCAACAAGTAGTTTTAGCCTGACTGTAGCCAACGTTGGCACGTGCCAAGCGGTCCTGTGCCGCAGTGGGAAGCCAGTGCCCCTCTCGAAAGTCTTCAGCCTGGAGCAGGACCCAGAGGAGGCTCAAAGGGTGAAGGACCAGAAAGCCATCATAACAGAGGTGAGTCTCACTCTCTACCAGTTGCTTCTGCTTCCTAAATCTACTGAATGCTGTTCTGCATACAGGCAGTGAAGGTCCATTTTCTTCCCATCAAGCCTGGTAAATTGTATCCAATCCAGATAATAGTACTAGAAGACAATCTAATGAATAGTTAATGACTAACAAAAAGAAAAGACAAATTAGAAATGAAAAGTCCTAATTTGTGATCCTTCAGCTGATAGCTAGCACGTAAACTGAATGCAGATGTCTCCCTTGGTTAATTTCCAACTCCTCTGGTTTGTTATTCCAAATAGAAGAAGAAAAAATTCTGCAGTTTGACATCACTGTTCTGAAGTGCAAAGTCTTAAGATATTGTTATTGTTTATATTGTGTCTAGCTTAGTATGCTCTGGTGGTTTGGTTTTGCTTTTTAATAATGAAGCATCAGTATCTCTACTGTTTTATAGCTTGTTTCCTTTTCTAGTAATTAGCATCACATTTTTGCTTTCAAAGAGACTTTAGTAATTGCATGTGAACACTGTTTACTGCAAAAGTGGAATTCTGCTCAGATGCTTTGCCCATTTTTAATTGTTTCTTTGTTGTTGAGTTTTAAGAATTCTTTGTGTATTTTGGGTACAAGTCCTTATCAACATTGCACATACTTTCTCCCAGTCTGTGTCTGTCTTTTCAGTCTTTTTTTTTTTTTTTTTTTTAAATTTACTTGACACAGGCAGAGATCACAAGTAGGCAGAGCAGCAGGCAGAGAGAGAGGAGGAAGCAGGCTCCCTGCTAAGCAGAGCCCGATGCAGGGCTCGATCCCAGGACTCTGGGATCATCACCTGAGCAGAAGGCAGAGGCTTTAACCCACTGAGCCACCCAGGCGCTCCTCTTTTCACTCTTTTAATGGTGTTGTTTGCAAAGCAGAAGTTTTAGTATGAATTTTTTTAAATTAAAAAAAATTTTTTTCTTAATAAGTAGGCTCCACACACAATGTGGAGCTTGAACTCATGACCCTAAGATCAAGAGTCAAATGCTCTACTGGCTGAGCCAGCCAGGCACATCCCAAGAAGTTTTTAGTTGAGAATGAAGTCCTACTTACCTTTCTTTTCTTTCATGGGTTCATGCTTTTTGTGTTTACAAATTCATTGCCAAACTCAAGGTCACCTAGATTTTCTTCTGTGTTATCTTCTAGAAGTTTCATGTTTTAATCTAGGTGGATCTGGTTTTAATTAATTTCTGTGACAGATGTAAGCTCAGTGTCTAGAGTCCTTTCTGCTTTTTGCATGCGGATGCCCAGCTGTTGCGGCCGTATTCATTGACCAGAAAGTCCTTTCTCCATTGAAGTGCCTTTGCTCCTTCGGCAGCGATCAATGGACCATGTGTGTGTGGGTCCATTTCTGGGCTATCTGTTCTGTCAGAATTCTGTGTAAGGATTACCCAGAGGAGATTCCACCCAAAGAACACAAAACCATAAAAAGGGCCATTACAGTGTGGGTTGATATTAAGGAGATTCTGGTAGACCAAGGCATTAGTCTCAGGAAGGTCTTTCAGTCAAAACAAAGGCAAGATAAAAGATAACTTTGTGTTTGAATAATCTCTTTTTCCAGGATTTAGATAATGTTTTGGTTTTTCTTGGGGCGCCAGAGGCAGGCAGGAATTATTCTTAAAGTGTCAGTTTAACCACAGGCATTTATTGTTTGCTGAGCACTTGACTCTTGTTTTATTTACTTTTCACAATAATCCCCATGAAAGAAGTGCTTTTATTTCCATTTTACAGATGAGGAAAATAAAATTTAGAGTTTGTGACAGATTCTGGTAAATGAGACAGCCAAGATTTTTACCCAGAGAATGACCACAGCTCTGAAACAAATATATTGATGACTTTTTAGAGGTTTTGTTTGATTTTATCTTAAAAAGAAATCAGTACAAAGTATTTGGCAGATGACCATTCCCAACCTGCAAAAGAGGATTATTCCTTTTCCTCTAAGTTTAGAATTATATCCGTTGTGACTTGATCTACTATTCATTCCGGGTACAGGCCTTACAGATGAGGTAAATTATGCCATGGAATTCAGACTTGACTTTTCTAGGCTAAATAGCTTTAGAGGTCATTTAATGCTTGCACTACAAAGATTCTCTTAGCCGTTTAATATCTAACTGAATCTTTTCTGTCCCAGCTGTGCCTTTAATGTGAAATCATTTTTAGTGACACACCTCTGTGAGGATACTGGTGATGGAGGGTTAATACCAGCCCTGCTTATTGTTCTTCTAACAGCTGTTTCTCTGTTTAAGGACATGCTGAGGCCTGTACTTCTATGAGAGCCAGTATCTTTTGAGATGGAGGTGCTAAACTTTTCGCCACTTAATTTTAATTGGTTTTAACTCCAGTCCTGTGAACTATTTGGTATAATAACCACATGATACTTTGTCCTTTAAGAATTCTGTACATTCATTTTTGTAAGTCCACTTAAATTATAGAGATCTGAGGAAAAACCATACCTGTCTGTTCTCTTTTACTGTAGAGCACTAGGCATTGTGATCTAGAAAGATAAGAAATTGTGTGTCATTGTTGCTTGTTACTCAGAATTTTGCATTCTGCTTGTCTCCTAGGACAACAAAGTGAACGGGGTAACATGCTGTACCCGGATGCTGGGCTGTACATACCTCTACCCTTGGATCCTCCCTAAACCCCACATATCTGCCACTCCACTTACCATTCAAGATGAGTTGCTGATTCTGGGAAACAAAGCATTGTGGGAACACCTGTCATATACAGAAGCTGTCGACGCAGTACGCCACGTGCAGGACCCATTAGCAGCTGCCAAGAAGCTGTGCACGTTAGCCCAGAGCTATGGTTGTCAGGACAATGTGGGGGCGATGGTGGTTTATTTGAACATTGGAGAGGAAGGGTGCACGTGTGAAATGAATGGGCTCACTCTCCCAGGTCCTGTGGGATTTGCTTCAACCACTGTCCTCAAGGACCCCCCCAAGCCAACCACTCCTTCCTCCAGCAGTGGCATTGCCTCCGAGTTTGGCAGCGAGATGTCCACCTCAGAGGTGAGCAGTGAGGTGGGGTCCACCGCTTCCGACGAACACAACACTGTCGGGCTGGATGCTGGCTTGCTTCCAAGGCCGGAGAGGCGCTGCAGCCTCCACCCAACACCCACCTCCGCGCTCTTTCAGCGCCAGCCTTCTTGTGCGACTTTCTCAAGTAACCAGTCTGACAATGGCCTGGACAGTGATGACGACCAGCCTGTCGAAGGTGTCATAACAAATGGCAGCAAAGTGGAAGTAGAAGTAGATATCCACTGCTGTAGGGGAAGGGATCTCGAGAACTCTCCCACTCTTAGAGAGAATTCTCCTACCCCGTGTCCTGAGGAACGTGCTAGAGGATCGTTTTTTGGGATCCGAAGACAGAACAGTGTGAATAGTGGCATACTTCTGCCAGGGAGCAAGGACAGGATGGAGTTACAGAAGTCCCCCTCCACTTCCTGTCTCTACGGAAAGAAGCTCTCGAATGGCTCGATCGTGCCCCTAGAAGATAGCCTGAACCTCATCGAAGTGGCCACAGAAGCACCCAGGAAGAAGACTGGCTACTTCGCTGCCCCGACTCAGCTGGAGCCGGAGGATCAGTTTGTTGTACCTCGTGACCTGGAGGAGGAAGTCAAAGAGCAAATGAAGCAACACCAGGAAAGCAGGCCCGAGCCTGAGCCCCACGACGAGGATCGGACCGAGCTCCCAGAGGAGTTTGACACGGCCCTGTAACCCTCCCCCGGGAGCCGGAGCGTTGGGCCAGGCTGCGCAGTGTCCGGGTAGGGATCCTACCAGAGGCCCGGTGCCTTTGCTTTCCTAAACCGTAGCCGAGGGGAAGAACTTGGAGCCAAACGTGGTAAGAGCTATCAGGGTCTTGCTCCGGGATAAGCTAATAAACACCATCAGTGTTAAGTTTCACATTTAACCTGCATTGGAATTCCCAGAGTTACTGGGAAGAAAGCCGATGTGGTTCTGTATCAGTCCTACCACCTGCCATTAACCCTTTCTCTCCTAGGATAATTTGAGAATTTGCCTGCCTGGGCAGGAAAGGGACTTTCTCTGTGGAGGAAATAACTGAAGATTGATTCTCTTTACTAATTGCTGCTGATGGATCTCTGTGACAGAGAAATCACCTTCTATCTCAACTTAACTGATGGGATGTGATGTGACTAGTCACATGGCTTTTCATTCTTCTCTACGAGAATACAGCCTTTCGAAATGATGTTTATTGGAAATGTAGAACCAATCAAACCGATAATTTATGTATGTAATGTAATGAGAGCACTTTTCATTGACTGTGAACTTTTTATTTTTGAATCTGCACTCGAGCCAATCTTCTTAGAGGCAGCCCGGCACCTTTGTCTGTAGACAGAATGATCATCAGGTGTTGGAGCATTCTGTGAGGGTACTAAGAAGGGCCCTGGGCAATCTTCGAACTGTTGGAGGGCAGGCTGGGAAAGCTCCTGGGAAACTTGGGGGAGTAGGATCTTTGGGGATGAAGATGGGGAAGGAAAGAGAATTAAGGCTGCTTCCCCGTCAGTCAGAAAAGAGATTTAATTCCTTGACACATGTGACATCTGCCAGGAATTGCCCGGGAGATCACAAGAGAAGTATTTGGGGACTGGCCTCTTCCCACAACGTGTGATGGAGTTGGCAGCCAGCCTCCTCACATGTAGGGCCAAGGCTGATGCTGCTTGCCTCCAGGTAACCTTGAGTGTAGCAGGTGACTCTGCACAGACTGAGGCTGAATGAGAGCAGACGGATGGACGGAGCTCATGGGTTAAGACATGGTCCTTCTCTTACTCTAGAGCAGAGGGATCGTTTCCTAAAGTGTCAGAAATGAGTTCACATCTTTAATGTTGAACAGCGTACGCTTCTGAAAACTGCTTATCCACCTCACATGATTTCGGAGTACGAGGCTCAATTAATAGGAGGAGGAAGGAGGACTGAATTAAGAAAATCCTAAGCTTACAGAAAACCTGGTTTACTGTATTTTTGCACATTCCACATAACCCTAGCAAAATGCAGTCCTTCCATATTTCTGTTTTGTTGCCTTTTCCATTAGAAGACTTAATTAGGAAACTAATTCCTACTTATTCCTATAAAATTTTGACATCGCTTGATTTCACCCGATGGGGAATGTGCTTTGAATTTTTAGAATACTTTAACAATTAAAAAGAAAATAGTGTAGAATCATGAATTTGCTTTATGAGAAACAAAATGTTAAAGATAGGGTTGAGATATATATAGATCTGGCTATCCATCTATTTATATCTTTGAGGGAGTTTTTGAAGTTTTTGTTAAAGCAATAGTAGAAAACCAGATGACCTGTCCACAAATGGTTATGTGTCCTCATCTTCTCAGAGGCCCCACATCCGTGAGAGAGAGAGAGAGAGAGAGAGAGAGTGTGTGTGTGTGTGTGTGTGTGTGAGTGGGGTTCACTCTTGGGGGGTTCCATACCACTCCAGTGGCTTTCTGAAGTTCCCCTCAAGAATCTTGAGTTTTAGTCCCCATATTGTCAGAAAAACTTGACTTCTCTGTATCAAACTACTGGTCAGAACTCAGGTCTTAATTTGAAGTAGGGAAAATAATGATTCATGCAAAGTTTAGATGCTGTTAGAAAAGGGGGAACGAATTGTGTGTTGCTGCCCTATTTTTATATGGGGAAATGGGTGGGGGGTGAAGGAGAAATGAAAGTGAAGAAAAAGCCCAAAATAATAGTGATGGGTGATGTGAAACATCTTGCTACCCGGACAGCAGAATCTTTGAGTTACAAAACACTGATGCTGTCTGTCTGCAGAAGAAAGTTAACTTTGGGAATATACCACTTTCATAGAATAGCTTCTTAACAATAGTTCTTTATCTCTGTGAACCGTTTTCTTGTCTTTGTTTCCCACCCTACTTATTGGAGCTACCATGAAACCCAGTTCTGAAATGACTTTACCCAAAGTAAATGTATTTACTTTTTTGTCAGGAGAACTCTAAAATTCCATATATTCTTTTTACATGGTAGATTTATTTTTAGGAAACACTAGGTTGCATTGAAAACCTTTCATACAGGCTTTCATATCATTAGTACCAAACTACTCTTTTCTGTGACTTCCTTTCATTCATTTCCCTCTATAATTGCTCTGTATTAAAATAGAGGGTAAGAAGGCCATAGTCTGTTACCAAAAATAGATTAGAGAACTCTTGACCTATGAGGTCATTTATCTTTGTGTGATCTGATTAGGTTGTCACATGGTGAAATCCAGGAATCTGTCTCCAGGTGAATGTAATCTACTGCCCAGGACTTTACCCAGAGGATGTTTTCCCCAGGTGGGCAGAGTACCATTGATCTCTAGCCCAGAGATTCTGGCCTCTGGGTGATTCTCAGGTCTCTGTGTGTACCTCCCATTTAATAGAGAACTGTAAGAGGATTTGTGAAAGGGTATCACTCCTGCTTCTGGGAGCAGTTCAGGAGTCCCGTGGAAGAAAGAAAAATCCATGAGTCTTGGCAGCCATGGTATTCTTATTTTTATCCTAATGGGTTGGAAATTCATTTTTTGAACATTTGAATGCCACTATGTCATTACGAGTCTACCGTAGAGTCATTGAGTTGGCACTCCTCATGCAAGTGAGGGCGTTATTATACTACTGTAGAGTGTATGTGTGCAATAAGCTGATGAATTCATTCCTTGGTGTACGGAAGAGCCAACACAAGAGCTTGGTAATCCCTGGGTGCTATTACAGTTGCTTGTAGCGAGTGCTATCTTCCGGGAGACGGAGCCGGTTAGGCGTATCTACTGAATCTCAAACGTTGCTCTTCTTCCCACGTAGACCTTCAGCAAAAGCAGGTACTTGGAAGCCACAGGCTCACCTTCTCTATCTACTCAATAATTATTAATGAAGAGACCTCCATAAGGGAGCATTTGGCTATTACCGATAAATGTACCAATTATTAAATAATTAGCCTCCAAGCCATTCAGTGATGCCCGCAGCATCACTAGAGAACTGTGTCGCGTCCCTTTTTACTTCCCTCCGGGCGGGGCCTTTTCAGACCCCCCCCAGTCATGGAGGCGAGTTCATCTTTCTCTCCAGTTCGTGACGTTTGCCCCGTCGTTGGGTAAGCACTTCCTAGATTGAGAAAAGCAGCTACGGTAAATCCTGCTATTTCCTTCATTTGGTGATCATTCAGTCACGCGGAAGCTCCTCGTATTCTGAATTTTACGCACCTCTCCCAGATGCTCTAGGGTTTTCTCTCACTGTTGCCAGTGGATGTCATCCAGACAGTGAGTTCATATCTTACGGTTTTGTGCAATCGTTGTTGTATTGTAGTCCTAAGACTCATAATAGTGTATTTTTGATATTTTTGAAATGTGTTAAATTTTTTAATTCAATAATACGAGCCAGAGCATGTTGCAGCAAATCTATTGTTTGTAAAAAATAACAATAACAGTGATAATAAATAAAATAAAATGGAATATCTTTTTCATGGCTTTGTTTTAAAATGGAATACCTGTTATTTTATAAATACTTTATTTTGGCATGACACTGTAATTTTCTCTAACTTGTATATAGAATCAGTTTATTAACCAAAAGCATCTTTAGGATTTTTCTTGCCTCCCCCGCATTTATTTATTTATTTATTTATTGCTTTAGAGGAAGATAACAAATGAAACCACATTCCATGACACTATGGAGCAATGAGTTAAGGCAAGAATAAATATTTTCGCTCACCTCTTAAGCTGAAACAGCAATAAAGATTTTTTTATGTTAAGAAACATTCTGACTTGACTTATATGTTTAAATAAATCCCAAAGACCAGAAACAGTCCTTATTTGCATGCAGGCTGTTAGCTGACTAGAAGAAACCCAGTTATAAGTAACTGATATCTCCCAAATCATAGAGCTGGTGATGACACAGAAGGGCCAGTTGGATAACCTAGCCGTCGCATTTGTCCTAAGGTGAGGGTTTGGTGTAAGAACCTTAGCTGTAGGAGTGTGCTTTGACTCACAAAATACTTAAAATCCAGTTCAGCCTCTAAATTATCTCCTCACCACCCTCCCTCCCCCACTGGTTGTCCTCCATAATCTCTGGACTTCCGAGCAAGATTAGGTTTCTCTAATAAAAGCCAAGTTGAAGTCATTTTGCAGGTTTATCCTCCTCATCTGGCAGAATGAACATTTTGAAACCCTGGTGTGTCAGATGTTCATTGAGCTCCTTCAACGTGCAGGGCTCAGGGCCACCATCTGTATGCTCCAGTGCCTCAGCTCTCTGAGACACTCCCCTCCCTACTCCAGGGAGAAGTCAACAACAGAAGTCAAGTCCTCTGAATGTGTTCTCTGCTTCCTCTGTTAGCCCCTGGTACACACAAGAGTATGTTAGTCTCTCAGAACATGTTCTGAATGTATTGGGTAAGTTTTGTCTCTGCTACCTAAAAGATTTGACTAGGGCCACCTGGGTGGCTCAGTTGGTGGTGAGGCATCCACCTCTTGATTTCGGCTCAGATGGTGATCTCAGGGTCATGAGATCAAGCCCCACATCAGGCTCCACGCTGGGTGTGGAACCTACTTAAGATTCTCCGTCCCTCTCTTAAAGAAAAAGATTTGACATTAGGCAAGTTACGTAACCTAAGACTGTTTTCCTCACCTGCTAAAAATGGAAATAACCCCATCTCTCCCAGAGTAACTTATGAGCTTGAACAAGACCGTGCAAATGCTGCCTTAGCCCAGTACCAGGCCTGGCTTATGATGAGCAGTCAACAAAACGTCAGCTGTCAGGTAAGCCACTTAAACCTTCTCGAACCTTCATCTCCTCATCCCTACCAAGTGAACAATAAATCCTGACTTGCCTATCAGACAAGAGTAGTAAATAAGGCTAGGTTTGCTCCAGCTTTTGAACATGATGAAACTGCACAGGTGGAAGGTTATGAGTGCAGTGACGGATGGACTCCGATCCCTCAGGAGGAGGGGACTCTCCGGGGCAGTAGCGAAGCCACCCGGGGCACAGTGCTGGAGTCTGGATAGGCCAGAGTCCCCGTCTGATCAAGAGTAAGACCCAGACGTGGGTAAAGCTCTCACAGGGACATGTCTTGGGGAAGAACGCTAGGTTTGGGGGGCGGGGCAGGAATCTTCTTTTCTGGGGGGTGTGTGAGGAAGGAGCGAGTTCTTTTGACTTTTGACTTTTGCTGCTGTTAAACATCCTACTAGCTGGCGAAAACGGGGCTCTGGCCCATGGCCTCAAGGCTGAGGGTGACAGGGAAGCAACTTTCTGTGGCACCGCGTTTGTACGTTAACCTAAGAATGTGGATGCT